GCGCGCTGGGCGCCGCGCCCTCCTGTCGGCATCGAATGGTATTCTTCACGCGAACCGCGAGGGAGAGGACTGCTGCTATCCCCATTTTACAGTTGTGAAACAGCCTCACAGAGGTTCTCACTTGCTTGAACGCAGTCGTCTGACTCTGGAGCCTGGGGACTCTCCCACCTTCACCGCCGCTGGGACCCCACAGTGGGGCGGGGGTGGAGGTGGGGGCTGCATTATTTCCGAGGGCAGGAAGGGACCCCCTCGACAAACCAGGGGCTCAGCTCCCCAACCAGGCCTGGATGTACAGACCTCCTGGGCCTGTCTCACCCTGCAGGTCCCCCATGAGGCCGCCCTTCCTCACCTCCTCCTGGCATCCTCACAGCCCCACAAGCTCTCGGTCTGGGGAGGCGGAGTTGTGCGTTTATGGCCCCGTACTGCTGTCCCGTTTTCTCCATCCTTCCTGGAGTCAGAAAGGAACATGGCTTCACTGCCTGTTGAGAGTCGCATAGGTTGCATTTCCTTGCCAGGTTGAGAGCACCAGACGTGAGGCACACGTGGGACCATGACCCTCTGCCAGCTCCGCTTAACCTTGTGGTGTGGGGGGAACCAGCAGGGATGTTCATGCCCAGTGCTTTTTCTCATGGAGGTCCTGAGATGACTTCTTAGCCAGTGACCCTGGCTCATGCATGCTGTCAGCCTTTCCTGCCCTGGATGCAGCTGGAGATGACCAGTCCTTGGCTCACTGCATTCCCCAAAGCCTCCTGCGGAACCAAACTGCCCACAACCATGTTCATGGGTGGTGGAGGGGTGTGACGAGACACTCCTGTCTTACCCACCCATATCAGGAGTCCAGTGTGTACACCCAATCATTTCTTGGTCCAAACTAAGAAAATGAAATTGCCCAAGGCAAGAACTCACTGCTGGGACCACCTCTGGGTCCATCTGTGTCTGGCAGCATGGTGAATCAATCCCAGCTGCCTTTCAGAGCCAGGCAGCTACTATCAATCAATTGGAGCTGGCACTTAATGTGCCAATTGCCCTCCTGGCATGGGGTTGTTGCTTGCTGCTCTGGGAGGGCAGAATGAACTATCCGTCCCTAGAACAGTGGCCCTCATAAGCCAAGTAGCTGTCATCCTGTGAAGCAGCACCGTGGTGACATTCTGGCTCAGGTGCTGTGTAGCTGAGGGATTATTTCCTCCATTTAAGAGTAGATGTAATGAGTCCAGCTGTCCCCAGCCATCTCTCCAAGTGCATTGGACCCTGGTCCTGCTACAGCCCCTCTTCTCACAGTGACCTCATAGCCCTGCACCACCCCCTCCCCACTCTTGCAAAAGGGATTGGACAGAGTGCAAAAGAGAGAACCATACACCAAAATCTGTGCAAGTGAAACTCTCTCTCCTTCTCTTCTCATCCCCACTCCCTACCACCCATAGAGTTGCAGAGACCTGTCTGCTCTCAGCAGGACAGAGGATGTGGGGGCAGCACCAGTTCAAACAGGACTCAGGACCACTGTCCAGCAGTTGGCCCATTAGGCTGCAGCCAGGGCTCAGAAACACAGCAAGGGAGGCTGGGCTCAGTGGCTCATGCCTGTAATCCTAGCACTTTGGGAGGCCGAAGGGGGCAAATCAGGCTATGTTGTCCAGGCTGGTTGGAGTTCGAGACCAGCCTGGACAACATAGCAAAACCCTGTCTCTAATTAAAAAAAGAGAAAAAAAGCCGGGCGTGGTGGCTCAAGCCTGTAATCCCAGCACTTTGGGAGGCGGAGGCGGGTGGATCACGAGGTCAAGAGATCGAGACCATCCTGGTCAACATGGTGAAACCCCGTCTCTACTAAAAATACAAAAAAATTAGCTGGGCTTGGTGGCACATGCCTGTAATCCCAGCTACTCAAGAGGCTGAGGCAGGAGAATTGCCTGAACCCAGGAGGCGGAGGTTGCGGTGAGCCGAGATCGCGCCATTGCACTCCAGCCTGGGTAACAAGAGCAAAACTCCGTCTCAAAAAAAAAAAAAAAAAAAAGAGAAAAAAAAATACACACAAAAAAAGGTAGCCTGGCATGGTGGTAGACACCTATAGTGCCATCGACTTGGGAGACAGGAGATTGCTTAAACCTGAGAGGCGGAGGTTGCAGTAAGCCAAGATTGCACCACTGCATTCCAAGCCTAGGAGGCAGAGCAAGACTCCATCTCAAAAAAAAAAAAAAAAAAAAAAAAAAGAAAAAAAAGAAAGAAAAGAAAAGACCAGCCGCAGTGGCTCACACCTGTAATCCTAGCACTTTGGGAGGCCAAGGTGCGCAGATCACCTGAGGTCAGGAGTTCAGGACCAGCCTGGCCAACATGGAGAAACCCCATCTCATTTTTTTTTTTTTTTTTTTTTTTTTGAGACGGAGTTTCGCTCTTGTTACCCAGGCTGGAGTGCAATGACGCGATCTCGGCTCACCGCAACCTCCGCCTCCTGGGCTCAGGCAATTCTCCTGCCTCAGCCTCCTAAGTAGCTGGGATTACAGGCACGCACCACCATGCCCAGCTAACTTTTTGTATTTTTAGTAGAGACGGGGTTTCACCTTGTTGACCAGGATGGTCTCGATCTCTCGACCTCGTGATCCACCCGCCTCGGCCTCCCAAAGTGCTGGGATTACAGGCTTGAGCCACCGCGCCCGGCCATTTTTTTTTTTTAATTAAAAAAAGAAAAGAACAGCAAGGGAGACCACAGGGACCAGTAGCCCAGGGTCCTCCCTCTCTCATCCTCTCACCCAGCTCCATAGGGACAGTTGTGGGACTCACGGGGAAAGCCACAGAGAGAAAATGCTTTCAGCTGGGTGTCAGGAAGAACTTTTCAACAGTTGGAGCTGTTGAAACCAAAAGAGTGACCACAGGAGGTAGTGAACTTCCTATCTGAGTTTGTGTGCAATTAGAGTTTGGATGCCAGTGAGCCCCTTGCAGCCCCAAGATCCCAGGGCTTAGGTTCCCACCCCAGACCCATCTTATCTGCTACCACCTGCTCCCTGGCATCCCATGTCATCCAGACTGGAGTGTCAGTGGTGACAGAGAACATTAGAGTATCTGGTCTGGTTAAAAGTATGCCTGGGGGTGGGGCTAGCCCAAGGCCATAAGCTATGACAGAACAGGATGTGAACCACCATCTGACATGTTACTGCATCCCCCTTGGTGGGCGAAGGGAAACCTTGGTTGTTGGGAGTAGATGCTTGGTGCCACAAATAAAAATTAGCACTGAGACAAAGGATTTTTCAGCAACGCAATTTTTACTTTCTGGAATGCGGGAAGGGTACTCTGACTAGCCATCTTGCCATGAGAGAACAATGAACAAAGGAAAGCAGACATATTTATATCCCTTAGGCATTTGGGGTCATCCTTACTGCTGTGTCTGATCTCCACTGGCTGGCAACTTAAAACTTTTCTAAACAGGTAACAGCAATTGGAGAGCTGGGACATGCCTGTGAACAAGTCTTGCACAGATATCTTGGTTAAAGTATAAGGACATAGAATGTACTGTGTGTCTGCAAGCATGGCATGCTCTGAGGTGCATGGCCTGGTGTTTTGGGGCAGCCCACTCTGAAGCTGCTGCCATGAACCCCAGGCACAGTCCATCACCCCCAAGCCCCAAATCCTGCTTGTCCACCACCACCAGTTCTTGGCCCTGTAGATTGCATAGGTCTGGCTGCTCAGAGGGAAATCAATGGTAGCAGCCCCGCACAATCCCACTGTTGAATGGTGGGGGAAAGAACCGTGTCTGGCTGGGTCTGCAGCCTGCTGGCTGTAAGTCCCTGGGATTCTGCAGTCTTTGGTTTCCTCACCTTGAAAGGGTTCTGTTGGGTTCCAGGAGAAACACAGATGAGACAGCAAAAGTGTGGAGCACAATGGGCCTGCGTGTAGTCGAGGTTAGACTCTTGCCTTTGCTGATTACCAGCCAGGCTCGTCCCATCCCTGAGCCCCAGTCTTCTGCAGGGTATCAGGGCACCTAGGTCTTCAACTCAGGTTGGAGCTAATTTGGCCACTGCTGCTTGCCACCTTTCTTGACTTCAACTGAATGACATAACTGCTCGAAGTCTCAGTGTTTACATCTATAAAGTGGGGTTAAAGAACTGCTGACCCAGACACTGGGTTTAGAGTGCTTTGCACATGATCATTATCCTTAATGTCCTTGTCATCCATGTCATAGTTTTTTGAGTGCTCTCTTTGGGGCAGGGCCTGAGCCTTTGGGCTTTGACTCTCCAGCTTTCTACCATATAAGCCCAGCCACAGCCCAGAGGCCACTAGAGCAGGGGTCCCAAATAATGCCTCTGTTCTGTTGGGAGAGCCCCAGTTGGTGCCCAGTTGCTTACCCTGCACAAGTCAAGCTGGGCCAGCCCCTCATCACTGGGACCTGGACGTGGATGTGAACTCAAAGCGGGATGGAAGTGGGGAGGTGATGAGTGTACAGGGTGTAGTGCTCAAATGCCTAGTCCAGGGTCTGGGTTCCATACTGGGAATGGCAGGGGCATCAAGGGGAAAAGAGCCGACCTAGAGGCCGTAAAGTGAAGGAAGGGATGGCCAGGAGGATGGCCAGGTCCAGAGGTCGGCGTTGGGTGGACAGGATGGGGAGGCCAGGACGCAGTCTGAAGGAGAGGCGGGGTGGGAGCTGGTCCAGAAGCGAGCATTCCTGTAGCTTTTCAGAGAGCCCGCAGGGTGGGCAGGTGATAGATGGTGTCCACGAGGGCATGGACTCAGGGGCGCCTGCGACCTCCAAGAGCGTCCCGGCTGGCAGGGAGCCAGGCAGTCCCCGAAGGCCGCGAGGTCAGAAAGCACTCAGACGCCCGCGCAGCCTTAAGCTTTGGCGCAGCCCCGGGGGCGGAGTGCCAGGAGTCTGCATCCTCCGAGCGACAGTGCGCCCATCCAACGGGATCCTGGCATGCGGCGCGCCGCCCCGCCCCTCGCCGCACGGCCCAATGGTGAGCGCGCCGGCTGCGGGTGGGGCGGGGACTGGGCTGGCGGCGGTGGCGCGCGGGCGCGGCACCCGGAAGTCGGCGGCGGCGGAGGCGGTGAGTGCGTGGCTGGCTGTCGGGGCTGGCGGACTCCGCTCCTGACCGGGCCAGTCTGGGCTCAGGGGCACCGGGCTTCGGGCTCTGGGTGCGCGGACGGGGCCAGGCTGCTTGAGGGTGGGTGGGTTGGCCGCACTTCCTCGCCCAGCCTCAGTTTCTCCTCTCTGAGGTACGGAATAGAGTCAAGTGGCTGGGTCAGGGGTGACCACGTCGATCCCGGCCGACGAAAATGCCCCGCGCGTTACTAGAAGGCGTTTTTAATAATCTCCGCTGCCATGGGGTGCGAGGGACTCTGGCAGGTTGGACCAGACTCGCTGCAGGGAGACAGACTGGCAGGGCTGGGAGCTGCGTGGTACCTGCAGGGTGGGTGGGCTGCGGCCTTGGCCAGCATCAGGGACAGCTCTGGCGCCCTGAGACAAGCAGGGTGACAGCCAATGTGGGTGTAAGTAGATAGCAAGTGCTGGGTCATCCCTGTGCCTTGATGCGGCCTTCCTGGGGTGGATTGGGTAGTTGGATCCCCCCACCCCCACCTCCAGAGCATCAGCAGTAGGGGGTGGCAAGGCTGCACTCAGGTCGGTCCTTGCCCCACTGCTGGGCTTTGCAGTAGCCTGGGCTTTGCCCGTTTTTTCTCTAGGGAAGTGGGCACAGAGGGCTGTTTGCTGAGACCCTCCACCTTCCCTGCCCCCAGCACTTCTCCTTTGCTCCCTTGGCTTCCTGCTGGGCCACAAGCTTAAGTAAACCATCTGCCCTTGGACAAGTCCCTGGGCCTCAGGCCCCCTTCCTCTTCAGGAATGTCACATGCCCTGCACTGGCCAGGCCTGTCTGCACTGATCAGGCCTCTCGTGTGGCTCCAGACCTGTTGAGCACTGTTTTGCTGCCACTCTGGGTGCAGAGCCCTTCCATGAGGCAGATGTGACGGCAGCTGTAAGGCGTAGCTGAGTAGCTCTTTGGAAGACTTTCTCACGCCAGCGTATTTGCCTTTGGGCAGCGTTTTGGAGCGAGCATTCGTTGATCCAATCCTGCTCACACAAGGAAAACTCAGGCCAAGGGGGTAGATGGTGTTCCCAAGGTCAATCAGAGTCGGGGCCAGCTCCCAGTGCCTCTGCTACTCCTGGGCCACTCTCCTAGGTGTCTTCCTGCATTGGTGTCCTGTTGGGTGGGCTGGGGGCAACTGGAGAGGGTGACTGTGTTGTCAGATGGACACGGCAGGGTCTCTGTTCCTCCCCCCAGGATCCTAGTGCTCTGGTGTGCAAGGTGGGGCGCCCTGGTGCCCCCACCCCTCGGACCCCTACACAGCTTTGTGTTACATGCGTGTCCTCAGACTGCAGGCCCCTCAGACCAAGCCCCTGCCTGCTGTGATGTGTGGTGGCCATAGCCCTTCCCTGAGCTAAGATGACCAGCTGTCAGCTCTGCCTGGGCTGCCCAGCCCCTTGTGCTTTCTTGGTGTCTTCACTTGTAGTCTGTTATTCTGATTACGTTTTGCAGTGTATGAAATCATGTGCAGTGTCCTGGGAAGTTGATCCTGTGCCTGGCTTCTGCACTAGACAGTGAACTTGGAGGGTACCCTGGTGCCCACCCAAGAGTGCTGCTTCTGTAAACACCCATGGAGAGATAAGGGGCTTCTCAGGGACCCCAGAAGGGTTCTGGAGAGAAACGGCCAGGACAGGGAGGCTGGGAAGACTTATCGAAGTTGGGCCATGCTTATCATTGACACTCCAGATGCTTGAGAAACAGGGCCCATCCTTTGGTGATGTGGCACTCAGTACATGGCAGCAGCATAGCAGAGCCTGGCGTTTGTTGGCCCCTACCAAAGGGTTTGGTCTATGGTGAAAACAAGCCTATCCCTTCTATGGGGATAGGCTCCCTGAAAAAACAAGGTCAACCCAGAAGGACTGAGCTGCCTTTTGAGGTTATCACGGCAGCTTTTTTCCCTTTTTCTCTTTTTTTTTTTTTGAGACGGAGTTTCGCTCTTGTTACCCAGGCTGGAGTGCAATGGCGCGATCTCGGCTCACCGCAACCTCCGCCTCCTGGGTTCAGGCAATTCTCCTGTCTTAGCCTCCTGAGTAGCTGGGATTACAGGCACGCGCCACCATGCCCAGCTAATTTTTTGTATTTTTAGTAGAGACGGGGTTTCACCACGTTGACCAGGATGGTCTCGATCTCTCGACCTCGTGATCCACCCGCCTCGGCCTCCCAAAGTGCTGGGATTACAGGCTTGAGCCACCGCGCCCGGCATCCTTTTTCTCTTAACTTCGTTTTTACATTGCAAAAATAGTTTATGCATGCTTACAAATAAAAAAGGCTGGTCTCCATCTCCTGGCAGCTGCTCCCATGTTGTACTTGCTGACATTTGGGGGTGCATCCGTCAAAGTCTTCAGTGCCACACTTACTTGAAGCGCTTGCCTTCACCCTCTTTGCGGGCATGGTAGGAATGCCCCTTTTTTTACTAACCACTGAGGCCGCAGGGACTGCTGCGAGACTGGCCTGTCCCTGGCTTGTGGAGAAGCTGAGTGTTCCTGCCGGGAGGGCCTGAGGGTGGGGCCACCCTGTGTCCAGAGCTTTCTGTCTGCTCACAATGCCTCTCTTTTGTGCTACTCCTTGGAACTGGGAAGAGACAGTGACCCTCTGGTGTGAGGCTGAAGTAATGCCCCAGAAGCAGTGTGAAGTTCTCCTGAGGAGAGAGTACCACTGTAGAAAATGTGTCATAATAAAATGCATTTAGGCTGGGCACAGTGGCTCATGCCTGTAATCCCAGCACTTTGGGAGGACAAGGCGGGTGGATCATCTGAGGTCAGGGGTTCGAGACCAGCCTGGCCAACATGGTGAAACCCGGTCTCTACTAAAAAAAATACGGTAATTAGCTGGGCGTGGTAGTAGGCACCTGTAATCTCAGCTACTTGGGAAATTGAGGCAGGAGAATCGCTTGAACCCAGGAGGTAGAGGTTGCAGTGAGCTGAGATTGTGCTACTGCACTCTAGCCTGGGCAACAAGAGCAAGACTCCATCTCAAAAAAAAAAAAAATGCCATTTAATAGCCAAACAGAAGGTGTAGATTGGTGAGCTCTTGCTGCGGAGATGGGAGGAGAGCAGGGCATTGCAGTGGACTGGCCACTGCGAGGGTTTCCCGACGTTAGGGCTTTCTCCGCCAAGACTCCGGGAACAGCAACACTGTGTTCCCATGTGTGTTTACCTCCTCTTCTGGCAGCTACTGGGAGCCTGCGTCACATGTCTGTGTCTGCCTTGTCCTTTGAAAAGAGCAGCTCAAGCTTTTGAGCTCTGCCCCGGGGGCTGCCACAGCTGATAGGGTGGGGATTACAAGGGATGGGGATTGGGCTTCCAGCTGCTCAGCCCTGCTCATCAGCTCTTGTGGCCGTTGAGGCCATTAAATGGGGGCAGCAGACTGTAGGGCTCGGTCGCCCTGTGTTCAGAGACTCGCCACGTGCAGCCCTGATAGGAGATTGACTTGACGGCCACCCTCCCGCGTCTAGGTCCCCTTGGCCCCGTGGTACAAATACCTTGCGATCCCTCGTGCGCCCTCCTGCCTGTCACCACTGCTTTCCGCTTCTCACACCTCCCCTCGGCCCACGTGCTATCTTTGCCTTTTCAGTTGTCAAAGGGAAGTGCTTCCACCCAGAGTGTGTGTCCCATCACCTGTGGCCCCCAGGGACTCCAGATGTGGCGTTGCTGTGACACCCAAGACAGCAAGAGCTGTCTTGCGCTGGGGCTGATTGGGTCGTATCTCGCTTTCTGTAAACAAGTGACTCTTGGGTTCTTTCCTTTCCTTCCCTCACTTCCCCACCCACAGAAATGTCCCAGCCCCAGTAGGGAAGGAGGGCAGGATCTGTGCGCTTTCTTTTATTTTTCCTTTTTTTTGAGACGGAGTTTCGCTCTTGTTACCCAGGCTGGAGTGCAGTGGCGCGATCTCGGCTCACCGCAACCTCCGCCTCCTGGGTTCAGGCGATTCTCCTGCCTCAGCCTCCTGAGTAGCTGGGATTACAGGCACGCGCCACCACGCCCAGCTAATTTTTTTGTATTTTTTTTAGTAGAGACGGGGTTTCACCATGTTGACCAGGATGGTCTCGATCTCTTGACCTCGTGATCCACCCGCCTCGGCCTCCCAAAGTGCTGGGATTACAGGCTTGAGCCACCGCGCCCAGCCTGGAGTTGTTTATTAATTTCGTTTTGCAATGTTCATTGTGTTCTTTTTTTTTTTTTGAGAGGGACTTTTACTCTTGTTACCCAGGCTGTGGTGCAGTGGTGCGTTCCCAGCTCACTGCAACCTCTGCCTCCTGGGTTCAAGCGATTCTCCTGCCTCAGCCTCTTGAGTAGCTGGGATCACTGGCATGCACCACCACGCCCCTCCAATTTTTGTATTTTTAGTAGAGACGAGGTTTTGCCACGTTGGCCAGGCTGGTCTTGAACTCCTGGCCTCAAGTGATCTGCCCACCTTGGCCTCCCAAAGTGTTGGGATTACTGTCGTGAGCCACCATGCCTGGCCAGTGAACTTTCTTGTGAGGGTGGACCTTACTGTTCCCCACCAGGAAGCATGCCTACTAAGTGTGCACACTCAGTGTCTGGCATGACGGATTGTACAAAGTGAACCCAACCACACAGCTACCAGCCGTATCACACGTGAAACTACCACCAGGCCCCAGACATCTTCCTCATGTTCCCTAGTGGCCTCCTAGACCAGGTGGCCCTGCCCTACCGTCTCTGTCCTCTGCGTGAAAAACCAAGCAGAGTGCCGTCTTCTGCCTGGGACTTCCCCACTGCCTCGAGAATGGGGGTTTGTTCCTGTTTATCACCATGGAAGGACACAGGCTGGACTTTTCTTGCCGTGTCACTTGGGCACCTGCAGAGTGCCTGGCGTAGTGAACAGGGCTTGGGGCATGGCATGATCCAGGTAGGGTTCAGACGGTTCTTCGAATAGCCAAGAGGGAGACTTGCCCTTAGCACCCGAGAATGCATTGAAACTATAGCGACTACTGCAGCATCAGAGGCCTGGTGACACATGCAGGACCTCAAGGGGCTCGTGTGACTAGGAGTCCAGGGTGTGGCTGAGGTGGGCCAGACTGGATGGCCAGCAGCCGCCTGGGGATGATTGGTGGTGCGTTTCCA